TTCAAGTCAACCACTTAAACATTTGATAACATTTTTCTTCCTTAAATAGTGTAATTTAATAGCAGCAATGACTTGACTAACGTACAGTGGCAGCTAGTGACCCCCATGTGGAAGCCATATAAGTGACAAATCTTGTTTTTAGTCTTTAAAGGAATAATCCACAGTGCTGAACCCAACCCTCCAGATACACTCAGTGACTTGCATAACTCTTTGTATTTAAACCCAGAATTGATTCTGATAAGAACCACTACTGCCAGCTTGGCTTCCAGAATGAAGTTCTTCCTTTCTAATGAGAAGATGGTCGGCTGATCATAACACTGAATGGGAAAGCAGGGATTGTGTCGAAGGAGGCATTTATCTCTTTTACAAGAGGAGAACAGGACTGTAGGACTAACAGTTGCTCATGAGGAAGTGTGTTATTGACTTTGCCTCAATCCCTTGGAGCCCTAAAAGTCTTTTGCTTGGAGCAATGGATGGTCAGCAATTCAGAAAAAGTGCAGTGATCTAAAAATGATGGGGGGAAAGTCTGTGTTCTTTCCCCATTCATAGTACCTCAGAGCAAGAGGCAGCTGAGGTCCAGGTGCATGTGTTGTGCTCCAGGCAAAAATTACTTAAAAAAAAAAAGCCACTTGGCAAAGAAGGACCGTGGCTGTGTCTCCCAGGCAGCAGCTGTCTCCTGGGAACAGAATTGGCCAGTCTTTGACAGGCAGCTACAAGTGTCAGTCAGCTTTATCCCTCCAGCTTCTACTGCTTTCCCTAGCAACCCTTCATCAGGCAAGGTTGTCTGAACTCAGAAGGAGAGTATTGAGCAGATGGAAACAATAACTCAGTCTATGGTTAAAGATGATCTGCACTCATTCATATGTAAAACTGTACATGTAGAATGTGTGTGTTTGACCTGATGTACTCTATAGGGCAAAGGAAACTGTATCGGCATTAAGAATGCTTGCTGATTAAGGTCAATTTGTATCAACGTAGTCTTATTCCACTTGCAGTGCTTTAGGTATGTGTGTGTCACGGGCGACTTGAGAAACTGCAAGTCACTTCTGGTATGAGAGAATTGGCCCTCTGCAAGGATGTTGCCCAGGGGATGCCTGGATGTTTTGATGTTTTACCATACTTGTGGGAGGCCACACTGCAGCTAGCTGAATATTCATGTTATCACAGTTCAGAGGAGAACACTGGAGTGTGTGGTGTCTGAGTGACAAGACAATTCTCACACTTGACATTAATTTGAGATGGAAAGGTTTTTCAGACTCCTGCCATTTCATTTTCATCTCCTACTTTGCGTAACTCCAGTTTGTGTCTTTTGTATCCATATGTAGACTAGTGCGTATGTACAGGTTCTTAGCTTCTGTGTTGAGAATTTGATTCTCTGTGGTAAGTAGATAGGTCTTAAGTGCATATAGATCTTTTAAAACAACAACAGAACCTATTACTGCTATTACTACTGTCCCCAGTGGCGGAGTGGGTTAAAGCGCTGAGCTGCTGAACTTGTGACCAAAAGGTTGCAGGTTCGAATCCAGGGAGCGGTGTGAGCTCCCGCTGTTAGCCCCAGCCTCTATCAACCTATCAGTTCCAAAACTTGCAAATGTGAGTAGATCAATATGCACCACTCTGGCAGGAAGGTAACGGCGCTCCATGCAGTCATGCTGGCCACATGACCTTGGAGGTGTCTACAGACAACGCCAGCTCTTTGGCTTAGAAATTGAGATAAGCAGCAACCCCCAGAGTTGGACACAACTGGATTTAATGTCAGGGGAAAACCTTTACCTTACCTACTACTGTTACTACTACTACTACTACTACTACTAATAATAATAATAATAATAATAATAATATAATCTTCAGGTGGATTATTCCTGCCTGTACTCTTTAGATCTAAAATGTACCTTTTGAATTAGATATACCCTTTAAAACATAATAATCCTTGTTTTAGTTACCAGCTATCTTGGGACCTTGTAGCCAAGAGAAGGATACTCAACTCTCTCCAGCACTGATACTCAAACCTGGGTAGTTGCACCATCTCATCACAAAATGACAACAAGGATGAACCTGGCTCTAGCTGAAGACCATATTTCATCACATAATAGTTTGACTTCCCATTCCCCCCTTCCCATTTTGGGGTAAAAAAGGGAGCAGTGACTATTACACAATGGTGACTATAATGGAGTGAGAAAAAAACATTCGAGGGGCTTCTTTCATTGTGTAATAGTAGTCAGTTTGAGGACACAGCTGTGCCAGCAGGTGATGCTTCTGCCATCCACATGGATGCACCTTCCAAGGGGATAACTGCATGGGCGAGTGAAACATCAACCACCTGCACAGGTGCTCCATTTGCGGGTGCAGCCGAGCAGGTGAGTGGGTGACATTTCACTCACATTGGACTTTCACATTGCCTACCATCACCTGACCTTGAGGCTACCCCCTTACTAAAAAATGAAAGAGGTCAGGATGGGGGAGTAAATTCATTCCCCCCCCCCCCGACGCAACCACTCTCTTTCTCTTTTGGTGGTGTGAGGTTTGATTTGGCGGGCAGCAGAGTCAAGCCCCACAGTGCCAAGACAATAGTTGCCCAGGCGAGTGAACTAAGGATGCAGTTGTCATGCGGGGAATGGCAAAACTCCATTTTTGCCTTCCCCAAAAGGGTTTTGTGACTATTATGTGATGAAATATGGTATACTACAAATACTTGTTAACAACTCACATTTTTCTTCATAGTATTACTAATTCTTAACTTGTGCTTTGAGGTCTCTGTGGCTCTCACACAAAAGGACCATCTGTATCTTTTGTGTGAGTTTGCAAGTGACCACTTGAGGAATCACAGTTACTGGTATGCAACCTGTTCTTGTTGTTTTTTCCCTTATTTTATCTCCTCCAGTTCTCATTCTTATTTTTTGTTAACATTATTATTTTTTGTTTTCATTCCTCCGGGTGCCTTATTATCATTATTTATGACACCTGCTGGCAGCCTTCCTATAAGCTTATTAACAAAACTATTTTTGCCTGAAACATAATTAAAAATAAGCAACCCGCTGAATCTGATTTTGTAACAACTGACCTTGAGATCTGTGGAACAAATTAAAACTATAATATAAATAAAGTTGTTCCAAATATTTGTTCAGCTGGCAAACTCAGACAAGCATCTCAAAGGACAGACAATGGATCTTGAGAAATTCCAGAAATAATGTCAAGTAATTAAATCAGCTGTTTAGAGAAAATGATATGGAAAGTGTTCGGAGTTGTTTGAAGTTAACAAGAACAAAACTCCATCAGGATGTTGACTCTGTTCTTTAGGCAGAGGGATGATAACAAAGTATATGTCCAACCTGTTGGATGCAAGTCACAGCCCGCATAAGATATGCTGAAGGGCACTCATATATTAAATGTACACCCAAAAGACAAACTAAGTCTACCTTTTCTTAACTGTTAAGATAATAGGTTTCTAAAAGAATGAGTTACAGATTAATACTTGATTTCCTAGAATGTTGTTAAGGCAGTAGATATTGTACTACTGGTATAGGGAAGAGAAAACAGCGAACAGCACAATCCCATGTACCTTTTCAACACAGTTCATGGATATTTTCAAAATACCTGCCTCATTCACAAGATCTAGAAACTTCCAGTATCTCTTTAAAAGTATCCTTCCAATGTAAATTATTGTAAATAAAAATGACATTCTGTAAAGGGCAATCCACATGTTGGTCATCAGCATCCAAATAGCTCTCTTTATGTCCAGCTTTGTTTTTATTTAAAGAGGGGATTGAATAATGAGATTTTGGCCTGCATAAGTAGGAGTACTGTGTCTGGATCCATGGAACCCCTGTATTTTGCCCTTGGTCAGACCACACCTGTAATACTGTGTCCAATTCTGGGCACGACAATTTAAGGGAAATGTTGACAATCTGGAATGTATCCAGAGGAGGGCAACTAACATGATCAAGCATCTGCGGAACAAGCCCTGTTAAAGATCTGGGTATGTTTAGCCTGAAGAAGAGAAGGCTGAGAAGAGACCTGATGAGCGCCATGTATTAATATGTGAGGGGATGTCATAGGGAGGAGGGAACAAGCTTGTTTTCTGCAGCCCTGGAGACTTGGAACAATGGTTTCAAACTACCGGAAAGGAGATTCCACCTGAACATGAGGAAGAACTTCATAACTGTGAGAACTGTTCAGCAGTGGAACTCCCTGCCTTGGAGTGTGGTGGAGTCTCCTTCTTTGGAAGCTTTTAAACAGAAACTGGATAGCCATCTGTCAGGGTTGTTTTGAATGTGATTTTCCTGCTTCTTGGCAGAGGGTTGGACTAAATGGCTCATGAGGTCTCTTCCAACTCTATGATTCTATGATATATTTTTTCAAGTTACATTTGTTTTGTAAGTGTGGGCAATATAAAGCTACACTTTCCTTGGTAGACAGAAGAAGACTTGTCTTACTCTTGTGCTAAACCACATGCCCTGCTTTCTCCTTTACAGTTTTTAAAGAGTGGTTAATCAAGAAGTAGAGTATTCATTCTCAAGATGGAAAAAATTAAACATCTCTTGCCTCACTTGGGTTGCATGGAGGTGAGGTTATTGCTTTGCACCTTAATGAAGCAGGAGGCAGTTTTTATGTGGGCCTGCCAATTCCTTGTATTTGGAGAGTTCACACATTGTGCCATAAATCTGAAGGCCATTTGTGATTTAATATAACTTATCAACTATGTGACTCAATGAATTAGATTCAGCTGTCATCGTGGTCATGCAGAAACTTTTTTATTTTTGGAAAGAAAAACTATTGCAATTCCTTTTAAGATTAGAACTTGGGTAGAAACAGACCATATGATTGCTGAGAGACAATCTATTACCTGTTCTATTATTTCCCTATGGAGATTTGATTTCGGTTATGTCTATTGCATATAGGAAATACAACAAGAAAGCTAGTTAAGATTGCTGTTAACTTTGAAAAATAAGTAATACATTTACTTATATTTGTATTTATATGTTTGTTTGTTTTTATTCCAGGGAGCACGGGTTTGGTTGCGAGAAAATGGCCAACATTATCCAAGTACTGTACTTTCCTGTGCAGAGGGAGTTGTTGTGTTCAGGACAGATTATGGTCAGGTAAATATATCACTTCAAAATACTTTCGAGTTACTGCTGTGGCATCATTCATCATGGCAAATACGTATGTTGCTATATTAGTTTTTAGTAGTAGGTCAGTCTGAAGTATGTATTCTCACACTTTGGCGCTGTGATAGAATAATGAGTTCTCTATGAAAAAGAGATAATTAAAGGCTTTTGTAACTTTGAAATGTTCAGAAAAGAGCCTGCCTGTTGTATCTCTGCATGCTCTAGTTGTTCTGAACTGACTTTATTCTACTTCTTCTGTATCAAATGAGATGAGTTCACTCAGTCACTTCTACTGTAGACAAATTATCTGCCTTTAGAAGAGGCTGCCTGCTCTGCTTTTTATGGGTCACTGCTGTGAGATTTTTTCTTCCCAGTCAGAAGCACAGCAGTGATTCGTACTCTAACACCTTTTAATATGTATCTTCCAATTTCAATTCAGGCTTTACTATAAGAATGTATCCCATATGTTTCTAATTTCTGTGTTTTAGCTTTTGAGAAAGTTGATCCTGTAAATCAGAGTTTCTCATACTGTGCTCCTCCAGATGTTTTGGACTTCAGTTCCCACAATTCTTAACAGCTAGCAAGCTGGCTGGGATTTCTGGGAGCTGAGGTCCAAAACACCTGGAGGAGCACAGTTTGAGAAACGCTGCTGTAAATAGTATTAAACTACTTTTCAACTTTTAAGGCTTTCTAAAAACTAACTTTCTCCGTTTGTGATCTCGGTTTTTCTTTGAATATATTTCATCCATTTGTTATTTGCTAGTGACTGGAATTGTGGGACTGAATGTTGAAAACCGATAACAGGCAGCTGTTCCCATTGCTGAGGAAAGAACTATATCAGTGTCTTATCGCCCTTTCAGCGCTCTAGGAAGCTTGAATGTGTTTAATTTTTAATCTGTCACCACGTCTAGTTGTCTGCAAATAACTGCTCTTGGCTTGGTGTGGAATGGACTGTATCTGGATGGTTAGGGGTATGTTCTCCTCTAATCTTGTGCATTCTTTTGGGTGCACCAAATGGTAGCTTTGTGAAAATTAACCAGTAATGCTCATATTTATTTATTTATCATGTCAGAAGCAAATTGGGATTGTTTTTTAATCATGTCAGAAACGACCTGAGAAACTGCAAGTCGCTTCTGGTGTGAGAAAATTGGCTGTCTGCAGAGACGTTGCCTGGGGACGCCCGGATGCGTTTCCATCCTGCGGGAGGCTTCTCTCATGTCCCTGCATGGGAAGCTGGAGCTGTCAGACAGGAGCTCACCCCGTCTTGCTGATTTGAACCGTCGACCTTCCGGTCAGCTAACACAAAGGTTGAACCCATTGTGCCACAACAGTTCCTAGAATACAGTTATAATGTATAGAAAAACCACAAACAAAATTTTAAAAAATTGGCATTATGCTAAATTTCCTTTGACCAGAAGCTGGCCACTTCGAGTGCCCCTCATGTTGCTGTAAGAAGGTCCTCCATTGTGTATGTGGCTGGGATCAGACTGCATTGTAGTAAGTGGTCTGTGGTTTGCTCTTCTCCACACTTGCTCATGAGTAATGCTCATGACAGCAGGGGAAGTTTTAACAGCTGGAGTCCAGCGCATGGGACAAGGAATAGGTTGAGTGCCAGTGCTGCATTCTGTTCTGATTGACGGTACTATGTTCAGTAGAGAGCTATTCAAACGCTAAGAAGTATTGTACTCATAGTCTTAGAATTTTCACAAGGATTATAAATTTGTATGGACTTAGACTAGAGACTGTTAATTACTTTGGCATTCTGGACATATTAATGATATAAAGGGTGACATCATGGCTACTAAAATTCAGATCAGAAAATCAAAACCAGGATTTATTGAATTAAAAGACAAATCATCCTGATAGTAACTTGATAATTAAGGAATTATTTTTTCTATACCATTATACATAGAAGTGGGTTATTGTTGTTATTAACATAAAGTATATCCATTTTCTTTCCAAGCAGGAAATTTGCGTATCATATTATACTTATTCAACAATGACATCTCTGCTTTTTATGGCATGTTACTGACATGCATCTCTCGTGAAAACAAAGAAACTGACATTTTGATTACTGCTTGCTGATCTGTTCTTTCAGTTGGGAGACTTCAGTATGCATGTCTCCTTTTTAACTGTCAAAATGCCATAGCCCATTGAAGCATCAACCATTAAGTGCACTGAATGTTTTTTTTTTAATCTATGTATTTTGAATCTTAAATGATGATGCTTGATCAGTGTTTAATGTCCACTTGGAAATTCTTTTTTTAAAGTGTAGGTGTATCTACTCGGAGGTAATACCCACTGAATTTAGCAGTGCTTCCTCCCAGGTAAATGAATGTAGGATTGTAACTTTAGTCATTAATATTGTAATATACAAGCTGCCATTTTTAAATGTTATTTAATCTAATCAACAAAATGTACCAAAGCACATTCAAGATAAATCTTAGAATCTTAGGGTCAGCTTTAGCACAGCAGGTTAATCACCAGCTGCAGCAGCTGTAAATCTTGCCAGCTGAAAGGTTGACAGTTTGAAGCCGGGTCAGGGTGAGCTCCTGACCTTCAGCTCAGCTCCCCGCCCACCTAGCGGATCGAAAACAGCAATGTGAGTAGATAAATAGGAACCACATTAAGCTGGAAGGTATTTTAGGCATGGTATTTCAAACAGAAAAAGGAGGAAAATTTACGAACAAAGAAAGGAGATGGAGCACCCCCCTGTGGCTGGAACCGAGCACAGTCTCCAAAGATGCCGAAAGATGGGGGGGGGGGGCGGGAGCCTATATAAATACCTCTATCTGTTGTCTGCAGGCATGTAGCCAGGTGGGGGGGCTTGAGGGGCTTCAGCCCCCCCCCCCGAAATTCTCATGGTGGTTCGCGAAAAGGCCTTGTTGTTGTTCATTCATTCAGTTGTCTCCGACTCTTCGTGACCTCATGGACCAGCCCACGCCAGAGCTCCCTGTTGGCCGTCACCACCCCCAGCTCCTTCAAGGTCAGTCCGGTCACTTCAAGGATGCCATCCATCCATCTTGCCCTTGGTCGGCCCCTCTTCCTTTTGCCTTCCACTTTCCCCAGCATAATTGTCTTCTCTAGGCTTTGCTGTCTCCTCATGATGTGGCCAAAGTACTTCAACTTTGTTTCTAGTATACTTCCCTCCAATGCAATATATCCATATGCATGGGGGTATTGTAATGATACAAAAGGTTTGCTAGGCTAGACCCTCTTTCACTCAGACTCAGCACCCCCCGAAACTCAGCCCCCCCCCCCCCCCGAAAAACCCCCCCCCCCCGAACGAAATCCTGGCTATGGGCCTGGTTGTCTGTTTTGTCATTGTATAATAGGCATTGAATGTTTGCCATATATGTGTTCTGTAATCCGCCCTAAGTCCCCTTTGGAGTGAGAAGGACAGAATATAAATACTGTAAATAAACATTTTTTTAAAAAAAGAAATATAAAAATATGTTTAATTCAACACGACTGCTTAGAAATACAATAATACAAGTGAGTGGATAATACAAATCTTTAAAAAAGCATGCAATGCCAAGTTAGTGGTTTGGATATCTTGTAACTGACTTCTGGGATTATCTATCTATCTATTTATCTATCTATATAAATTAGGAGTCCTAATTACAAAAAGGCTAGAATGGTGAGTGACTTTGGTATTGTGGTTCTTGTAATAAAAAAGTTAATTTCTCATTCATTTCCAAATTATTTCTCTCTTCTAATAAGGAAACAAAATACTGTTTTCTAATATTCAAAGACAAATCCTCCAATACTGCAAGTCTACACCTATCTCAGACTGGAATACCCAGAAATGTGCCTTGTTGGGCCATTTGTTACATCTGTTTGAAGTTATGACAAAATCCATTCCATAATTCATTTTCATAGGAAATGACAAATTATGCCCCTGGAGCTCTGGTGTGCATATCACACATTCAATCCACGGATACAGTGGATTCTAGAACCCATTCAAGGCCACCTTCCATGGTTAATGTAATCACCTTCCTTACTTCAAACCTGTTCTAGAAATGTCAATGTAACTGTCCGCACAGAGGAACTCATTCCTATCAAATCAGTTCCAAACTGATCTCAGTGGTCAGTGTAGATGAGCTCTAGGAGACCTAGTGTTACAATAAAAATGCAGACTGGAAGAGAAGAAGCAACATGTTCAGCATTCTCTCCCTGAATTGATACTTCTCTCCAAAATATAACAGATGAACCAATAATGTGATAATGTGTAAGTCTCAAGATGAATCAACAACTGTTTCCAGAACACAGTGTGTGCCTCTGTTTGCTTTGCTGCTTTAAAGGAATAGGGGTGAAATGCCTTTTACATAATAGCTTCGTACATGTGCCACGTGTACATGTGCCACCATTAAAAAGTTAGTACATTGCTCTGAAGATATTGTTCCACACAATGGTTTATATATGTGTGATCGTTCACTGGTCTGTGTGTCCACATACACACACTAAGGCATATAGCCGTGTGTAGAAAATAATTAGTTGTAGTTGACAGCTAATGTTTATGCTCAGTTTCCCCTTTAATTTTTTTAAAAAACAGCCATATAAGAAAAAAGTCATCACTATAACGGATTTTACCCGTTTCAAGAATAAAAAACACCAATGTAACAAGACATGAAACAAAACAAAATAAATAAATATGATATGGAAAAACTAGCAACCATGACTTTTTTTTTAAATTTGACTGACATGACCTCATTAGCATCTGTAACATCAAACTGTGGGGTGCTTAATTGTGTATTCTAGTGGACTGAAGTGGTTGGGGGTGACTAAACCTTTCAGACCCCCCCCCCCCCCAAGCACAGATGGTAAGTATAATGGGTAAAGGCTTTGTCATTCAGAGAGACATCCCTGAATTATCTTAACAAAGAAGTAATTCGTGGTGAGGCATTATGCCATAAAGTAGTAACCTCTGTTTTAAATAACAGATACCTATAGGTTGTTTTTTGGTCTGTCCTTTTGAAGAGAGGGTTCCC